TTTTATGTAGAAATATCCAAGCTGAATCAAAATCTCCAGTTCCTGTTAGCATGAATAAGGATGAAAATACGGATGCAGTACCTGAACAAGATAAAGCCCTCGCCAATTTGGCGAGAACAACAAATGTGTTTTTGCAAACTTTAACGGTTACGTTGAAAGGGCAAGATAGAAAGAGCCAGGCACGTGCTATTATCGATTCAGCTTCACAAAGATCTTATAATCTAAAAAGCACTGCAGATGAAATGAAATTTCAGAGTACATCTAAAGAAAGATTGAGCCATTTATTATTTGGCGGGTCATGTACTGATGTCATAAACCACGATGTTTTTACAGTGTTCCTGTTTTAAACGGATGGAACTTATTATTGTAACTTCAAAGCTCTTAGCCAAGATATTATTTGTGGAAGTATACCACCAGTTGCTAAATGGCGAGTGGATTCGAGAGCTTAAAGAGAACAATATTTCCGTATGCGACGATAGTAATGGACCAATAGAAATACTTATTCGGCGCTGACATTGCAGGCAAGTTGATGACCGGAGGATTTAAATTGCTTACTTCAGGCCTTGCTGCTATAGAAACAAAACTTGGTTGGACTTTTTTTTGGGAAAAATGGTATGCGTGAGATCTCGGACAATTTCCGCACTGCTCGTCACATCCATGTTGAATAAGGAAATATTGATATCCGATCTATGGTCTCTAGATTCACTTGGAATTCTAGATCCCTCAGAGAAGAAAAAGTAAACTGGAACTTCAAGAAGAAGGCAAGAGATCATTTCTTGTGTCTACTGTAAAGGTGAACGAAGAGGGACGTTTTCAAGTCAGCTTGCCATGGCTTGATAACCATCTACCGTTAAAAGATAACTATGACTTAGCTGTAAAGAGATTAGATTCTACAGTAAAACGACTAAAAGCTAAGAAACTTTATGATGTTTATGGAGAAGTTTTTAGTGAATGGGAACGATAAGGCATCATAGAAGAAGTACCAAAAAGCAAAATTGATGTAACATGCCATTATCTACCACATCGACACGTAGTAAAATAAAAAAGTACTACATGAATCAGGCTAGTGCTTGATGCCTCGGCCAAACAGAAAGGGTCATCTAGTCTCAATGATTGTCTAGAAAAGGGTCGGAACCTTATCGAACTGATTCCTTCAATTCTTCTTAGATTCCGAATGAACAGAATAGGAGTTTCTGAACATATACGAAAAGCATTCTTACAAATAAGTCTCAACCCTAAGGATAAAGATTATCTAAGATTTTTATGGTATAGAACTGATGGAAAACTGAAGTATTACAGGCATAGTAGGCATTGTAGAGTTACAAGTAGCCCTTTCTTGCTAGTTTCTGTAATTCACCATCTTCTAGAATCCACTTTGAAACAACTAAATGGAAACCCAAAGTATAAAGTGGATATTATTGAGCAATTGAAGAAGAGCTTTTATGTAGATAATTGTTTAGCGAGTGTGAAAAAGGATTTAGAATTGCAACAGTTCATACAAGTTGCTTCAGATACTTTAGCTACAAGAAAGCTAGAATTACGTGGTTGAGAATACAGTGACCCAACAGGTAATTCCTTTAGTGTCACAAATGTATTAGGAATGGTTCGGGAACGATGTGGACATTACCTTTGCCTTAATATTACTAACATCACCTGCCTACTAGAAATTTTGTCTAAAAGAGAGATTTTAGCTACTATACACAAAATATTCGACCCTTTAGGAATAGCTTGCTCCGTAACTCTTGTGCCGAAACTTTTACTTCAGCACTATGGGAATTTAAGTTATCTTGGGACCAAGAAGTTGATTCAAATTCAAACTCACAATTTTGTAAATGGTTGAATAATTTGAAGTGTCTGGAAAGAATGAGAATACCAAGATGGTTAAACTGTGATCGTGAGATTGAAAATATCTCACTTCATTTCTCAGTGATGCGAGTAAACTTGCATATTCAGCTGTGACCTTTGTTCGAGTACAAACAAGAGATTTGGTTCAAGTTCATTTGGTGCAAGCTAAAGCGAGAGTTGCACCCAGCGGAAGGAAAAAGACAACAATAACTCGATTGGAACTTCTTGGAGCTACAATATGTACACGTTTAGCATCCAGCATAATACCTGAATTTCAAGCTGATGATATTTATTTTTGGACAGATTCGTCTACTGTGCTAGCTTGGATACAGAGGAATGAAGTATGGGACGTATTTGTTCACAACAGAATTAAGGAAATAAAGCGACTGACTTCTATTGAATCTTGGAGGCACGTACCAGGATCACTGAATCCTGCTGATTTGCCCAGTAGAGGATGCTCTGCTTCTTATTTAATTAAATCTAGATGGTGGGAAGGTCCTAAATGGCTATATTTATCACCAGAAAAATGGCCAAAAGAAGATTTTAGTGCTGATGAAGAAGAAATAGCTCTTGAGAAAAAGAAAAGGATTATTTCGTCCTTAATAAATCTTAATGCTAGTGAAATAGTTGCTACTAGATTCTCAAGTTATCGTAAGACAATCGGACTGGTAGCGTGGATGTGTTGTTTTCTTTACAACTGTAAACATCAAAATAAGAAAAAAAGGTGAACTTACTGTATCTGAGTTAAATGAAGCAGAGAATATCTTGATTCGTTTAATACAAAATGAGTCCTTTAATGGAATAGAAGATAAACGGATTTTAAGTCTTAATCTATTCATTGATTGTGGGATCATCAGATCTAAAACAGTGATATTTCAACGAGAAGATACATCTGAGTTCAGAACTCCTGTTATTTTGCCAAGTAGATCATACTCTTATAAGAAGTTTAATAGTGGAAGAACATAAGTTGAAAGAACATATTGGAGTTTCTCACGTCCTAAATTCTTTAAGAGAAGGATTTTGGATATTAGCGGGAAGAAGAGTTGTATCATTCGTTTTGAAAACTTGTATAACCTGTAAGCGTTATTCAAACAAAAATGTTAACCCACCAGCACTACCACTTCCTAGAGATCGGGTACAAGATACCTCAGTGTTTCAAATAACCGACATAGATTATGCTGGATCTATATTTCTTAGATAATACAAGAAGGCATTGGATTTGCCTATTCACTTGCGCAGTGTACCGTTGTGTTCATTTGGAACTGGTTACATCTTTAACGACGGATACATTTCTACAAGCTTTTCATCTTTTTGCTGCTAGACGTGGGAAGCCATGCATAATTTATACTGATAATGGAACAAATTTTGGTGGAGCTTGAAATGCACTTGCTTTAATCGATTTCAATGAAATTGCAAAAAAAAAAAAAAAAAAAAAAAAAAAAGAGCTAATGAACGTATATTTGGAAGTTCACTCCCCCAGGCGCTCCATGGTGGGGTGGCTAGTGGGAACGCCTCATAGGAATGATGAAAAAAATATTAAGAAAGGTTCTTGGGAGAGCCTGCCTTAGTTATGAGGAAATGCGTACCGTTTTGTGTAACTGTGAAGTATCTTAAATGATAGACTTTTAACAGTTGTATCGGCTGATTCAAGTCTCATTTCCATAACACCTGGAAATTTTTTACGGGAAATACAAAACCATTCAGCGCCAATTGTAAAACATGACTTCAGTTCTAACTTTTATAAATGTAGATTTCGTTATATCCAAAATGCTAACCAGGTTTTCAAGAAAAGATTTCGACAGGAATATCTGGGAACTTTGAAAACAATAAGCAAAAAATTCGCTAGAAGTTGTAAATTAAAAGGAGACATTGTCTTAATTGGAAGTGATGACAAAAGGAGACTAAATTGGCCTCTTAGTAAAATCATACAATTATTTCCAGGTACCAACGATGAAAGTCAGCGAGCCAGAAATAAAGTGCAAAATGGAGAACTCTTAAGAGCTGTACAAAATCTTTATCCTTTGGAATTATCCACCGCCAAGGAACTTCCATCGAAATTCAGCGGAAGTCAACGATGCAAAAATATTTTGGTAGAGCAAACTCCAATTGATGATGTGCCTGTAGAAACAAAAAGAATAATCCCTAGCCCTTTAAAATCGCCCACGATAACCAAATCAGGAAGGACAATTAAGAGTTCCTTCATCGATTGGACTTGTGAGAACAATGTTTAAATTTTTATTATTTTGCAATACTCAATACCGAATTACATATTGCAAGCTGGAAGGATGAACAATATTTTGACTCTAATATTTTTGTTTACATTTTTTTCTAACTGCAGCTTCTGAGTAATATTGCACGAGCTTCAAGCAGATGTAATCGTTTTCTTTACTCTATAGGTTTTTTTCATTCATTATCTATTCATATTATTATCTATGTTTTGTACAGTTAATGTTTCAGAGAATGACAATATACTATGTTCTTTTTTTTAGAGAGTCAGTGTAACATTTTTTTTTTTCATTTTAGAGTAAAGGAATTGTTTAATTACTGTAGAGTCATAAATAACTAAAGAGATATAGATAGTTATTTCCGAGTAATAAATAGTTTCTTGAGGTAAAAAATTTGGTGAGAATTTTTGAACATTAATTTAAGCGAATTAGCTGATTGTTCCTAATTTAATGGAAAAAATAATTATTTTAATTAGATTGAGAAAAAAATCTAATTGCTCGATAAGCTCTGCTTAATGATCAGGGTAACAACAGCGATCGAATTAAAAATTTTCCATTTGCAAAGTTTTATATTGATTAATACCACATCATGGAAAACACATCCATTTGAACCTCATTTCCTTAATAATCTTAGCATGATGTGTATGGACAATCATAAAAGGAAAAAACATTGCATATCAGTCACAGTATTTGAACAACATTTTGCGTGTAATAATATTACGAGGAACCAATAACCAATAACTTTAGGTATTTTTCTCCATTTTCCCTGGGGAGCGCATTTGGATTAAAAAAAAGAGTATTTCCATTGCCTGAGGATAAACAACAATAGAAGAATTACAGTTGTTTAAACAGCTTAAATAAGCTTAAATAAGGATAAAAAGCAGCTTTGTTTTATTTAAAAGCCTTTAAATATATCCTGAAAATATTCTTCGGCAGTTGAAATATCAGAAAAAGAAATGGAAGCTTTAATTAAAATGTTCACGTTTTGTTTTGTAGTTTTGATTTTGATTTGCCCTTTTGCTTGTTCATTTGGCTTGGAACCACACGAAGAAGAAGAGGATAATGATATGTCCCAAGATGAGCTGGTCAAATGTTTCTTCGATGTGAGCTGCTATTTAGGTATATACGCTTCTCAGTTTCCTTTCTGTTTTAGGACCTTAGAATATTTTTAAAAATCTTTTTGGCTTCGATCATAGACTGCAATTCGATTACAAAGGATTTCCTGATTTGGCAATCGCTGTTTCACCCCGCTCTATATTCATAGGCCGAAATTGTATCACACTAATTCATGTTTTTTCGACCTCTTTGGCCATGTTTTACATATTGAAAGGTAGGCTTCTCGTATGCAGATCCTATGGTATCACTTCGACAATCATTCGGCAGGGTTACCTTCCTGACTGAAGTGATACATAGGGTTTTCAAAACGACTGCTTGAATAAATATCTCTTCACTAGCTAATCGTAGACCCGACTTGCTTGCTTTAAGAAATAAATGCACGAACTTGCTTGCTTATTTCTTCCTCGCCAGTGATCTAGTACAAAAATATTTGCAGACGTAATGCCTTTCGTTATTTAATATGCAGAAGGGATGTTTTGAACTCTTACATTTCGATTCTTCCATAAAATTTTAGCTCTGTCAGCATGTCCGGCATCAGAGCCTGTGCAATCCATGCGGCCCTACTGGGTGGTAGAATTTAGGGACTACATTGTAGGGTAGCAGAATTTAGGAAGATTACATTATATGGCAAGAAGACAGCACAAAAAATTAATGTATTAGAAATTATTTTTGAATAATCTGAGCTTAAATACACAATCTTTTATGGCATAAATCTCATGCATGAAGTTATCTTTATGGTAATAAAGATTTATAATCCTTATGCTGACTTATCGCCTTTAGAGTTTTATGATGTAGATTTGTCTCATAAAGATGTTTAACTGCTTTAATTCTTTAAGGCAACTGAAGAAATGTAATGGAAGTCTTGGGAACTAATTTACGAGAGAATTTGTTTCTAGTATTAAAAACATCATCTTTTACAAATGAACATTATTGGCAAAATTGAAAATCATTCGTTTGGAAAATATTACAGCCATTTCTTAAGTATTTTGCTGGCAAATGTCTTAAAGATTTAATTTGAAAATGGTCACATTACAAAGGAGGTAAAGAAGTTTAATTTTTTCCAAAAATCTCGAGGAAATTTTATTCACTTTTCCTGTCTGCTACTATTTGTATTTTTTCATTCATCTTTAAACTAATAATAAATACCATTCCATTCGGCAATTTTAAATTCTTAAATAGTTCACTTTACTTATTTATATGTAATACTCCAAAATAATTAAAAAAATAACCGTCTTGAAATCTAAAAGTCTGCAATAATCTCCCATTTTTCAGGAGAAAATGAACAATGCAATGGTCCATTAGTTTTCAACTGGATTTAGTCAAAAAATAAACTTTGGTAAATGCACAGCGAAACCAACTTACTATTAGTAGCAGTGTTTGAGTCAATTATCATTATACAAATTAAATAAGTGCGTATGTTTTTAAACACCTTGGAAATATATTTTTTTGTTGAGGTAATCATGGAAAGTGGAAAAATATTTAAATAAATTATGTATAAATTTTAACCAATCTCTATCTGTTATATAAAACTCTATCAACACGCATTCGTCTTTTTCAGACGAAAACAGGTTAGTGTCTCTTCTAGGGACAGAATTATAGATCTTCGAATCCACTAATTTAACAAAAGATTTAAAAAAAATCGAGTATTTCCCCTTTTTATTCGACTTTAAACTCTGTAATCCTACCCTAAAAAATTGAAGTTTCAACTCAAAATTTTAGAAAATTTAAAGTTATTGATGAAAATAGCATTATTCATTAAAAAATACAGAGCTCCTTTTGCAACCTGAGCAGACCTGAATCACCATTATCAGCAGATGATGGTTTAAAGTGCCTTACTCTTTATTTTTTTGGAGAGAATTTAGCATTCCGTGTATAGTGTTTACCTTTGTTAACTTAAAATAATCTCTGGTTTGCACTTGATTTGATTTAAAAATTCTAGAAAACGTAAAACTCTTGAAATGTTGCACAAATATTCTTATCAATTTATACCTAGAAATAAATTTCAAGATTCAATAAATTAACTTTTATTTAATTAATAACATTTTGATTAATAACTAAGTTAATTTTAATTATGTACTTCATTTAATAGATTTTATTTGTATCGTCTTATCAAATGTAGGTGTATTTTTTAAAACTGTATTGTTAAATTTGTTTCTCGTTAAACGCAGGTTTCAAATTTCGGTTTAATTAAAATTTTAATACTAAATAAAATTTTGTATTTTTCTTCTCATTGTGTTTCGTATGTGAAAGATTTGAGGATCTTTCAGGACTGGCATTCGGACTCAATAAAACTTAGGTTTCGTCCAAACTTTAATTTCTTTCTATGGATTAGATTTAACGCCTGTTGCCTTCTTTTTTTTTTTTTTTTTTTTTTTTTTTTTTTTTTTTTTTTGTTGATGTGAACTTATTATTTCTTAATTGTTATCTTCATAAAATGTGAAGTGAAAATTCAGTTTATTACCAAGTCATATCGAATTACATATAAGTGCTTTTAAAGTTTTAGAACGGATAAAAATCATGAAAGATACAGAGTTATGATCTGTTATAGAGTTAAGCATTTCAAAATGAAGAAACAGAAAATTCAAATGTCTAAATGTCTACTAAAAATTAAAACAAAGATTAAGAGGCATAAGAGGCAAGAAGATGTCAAGTGAATTTTGAGAAAACTAATGCAGAAAGTAACTTGATAAAATTTTGTGCGATATAGTAACGAAGTGTCCTACTAGTGACTGAGTGGTTAAGCCAGCTGAATATGACTTTTGTTCAAAGTAAAACGAATGGGTTGCTTGAATAGCTGTTTTCGCGGTTATAACATAAAACATATATTATATATATAGCATAAATACTATCAAGTTTTCCTTGAAAGTCGTTCACTAAGGCTTCCCTTCCCTTAATCACATAGCTTTCGTGTGCTTTGTCATATTCAAATAACCAACTTAACGGTAACGGAGCTATTAACGGATCAAAGACACGAACAGTACCTATTTGTTACTCTCTTTAACTTTCAGAGGCCTATGCTTTATTATATGATACTGAGAGAATAGGAATCTTATGACTTTCTGTAATGTGAACTGATATGGAATTACAGCAGAAGATAGGCAGATTCATGAAATATTATTATTTGGTTGGACGTTCGCTTATCTTCTCTTTTTATTGCTTAGTTCTTCTGATAAAATCTGGGTGTAACAATTAATAGTAAAAGTTAAAAAAAAATTGCACTGCCATCAGAATTTATGATAACGTATTTTCCTATTTTGTACGTTTTATGCCTGTATTGATGTAGATAATATTTTAATTTATTATTTTCTTTTCGCAGGGGAAGAAGCATATCAGAAAATTTGGGATTGCGTGAACATTTTACCGCCAGAAGTAAGTGCACATCACTACTATGTAAGAGACATCTGCAGATGCATTACCCTCTTAACTGACTAAACAATTGTTAACTTTACTTCCTCCGTCAGCAATCCTTAAACTGAACATGCGGAAAATGAGTGTTAATCAAAAATAATTTCTATTAGTTTTCATGGATTAACTCCTGACATGATAATTTGTCCTTTGTAGGTCTTAATACCTAAACGTATCATTGCGGGAACACTACAGAAGACTGGATGTAACGAATAGTGAACAAAAATAAAAAGATGAATAAATAAATAAACAAAAAATATTGAATAATTAAATTAAATGCAAACTATAAAAATATTAATGATAAACAAGTAAATAATAAACTAAAATATTATAAGAATGAAAAGAAAAACATCTGAAAGGATTCAGATTTTAATGTCTCACCAGAGGGTTTGTTAAGGTTGTTTATGCTCTCGATGACCTCGCAGTTTACCAGTCTGCGCTTGGACTCACTCCTATTTACACAGCTTTTTTTTTTTCTTTTTAACTATTAAATATCGTTTTCTTCGCACTTACTCCTCCATTTAAACTTCAATAAATAAGTAAAAAAAAAAAAAAAAAAAAAAAAAAAAAAAAAAAAACATATTTTTTAAATTTTAATAAAGTTTTAAGTATTGCCATACATTTTTGTTTTGTGTATTTTTCGGTCTTTTCTCGGTTTATGATATCGATGTTCAGTTTTCTAAATAAGATGATATGCACTACATGTTTTGTCTTTTTGTTGTTAAATTTTTGTCTTTTTAACTTTATTTATTAGCCGATATTTTCTTTGCACTTACACCACATAAAATTCAACATAAAAATCACAAAATATTTAAAAAACAGTATATCTTTAGAATTCTGGATAGAGTGTTAAGTGCTGTCATAATTTTTTATATCTCTATATTATTTCTTTATTTTATAAAATAATACATAAGTAATGCAATTTAAAAATAATAAAACTGATACTTTATAATATTTTATAGAGGTGCTTGGCTAGGGTTTGAAGCAACACCCAATGTATTAAAATTTTGCCGTTTGAAAACAAGAAATGTTCATTTTCGAATTTAAATAGTGAAATTCTTATTAATAAGTAATATAAAAGTTAATTAAGTGAAATTCTAATTAATAAAAAACAATAATTAATTTTAAAAGTGAAACTCTAATTAATAAGTGACACAGAAGTTAAGTAGCTAAGACGAGAGACTTTAATTTTTTCTGATTTATGCCTTTTCTCTGGAATGAAATTTTGTGTTTGATAGTGTAATTATGGTCAATTTACTTAACCTGTTCTGCCAAACTAAGTTAATGGTGCAGCTGAACTATTTTTTTACAATAGCATCTTAATTACGATTATTTAATATATGTATTCATTCTTAATTAGGAAATGAAAATGGCATTCGACTGGTTCTTGGAGTATCCGATAGAATTTGAATCTGAAGCTTCGGAAGAACGTCTGGGACAGATGTGCAAAGACGACGAGGAAACTCATGTAAGTCATTAATTCATATTTTTCTATACACATATTAAGAGTCTTTCGGATACACATTTTGTGAAAAAAATGTCATTTTTAATAAAAGCTTGAAAGAAATGGCAAAAAATATTCTTTTGAGGTCAAATCCTTTAAAAAATTTAATTTTACTCAAAATCTTCTTGAATGAATTAAAAGGTGATTCATACTATTCAAATGACTCCTACCGTGCAAGAGTTCGAGCTTCTAAATTTATGCTCGGAGAAGACACTTCTTTTGATTGGTGAAAGAAGTAGCTAATTATCAAAAAGAATAATTTTTCAGGACTCTAATATATGTAATATTGACTTGCGTATTGATATGAAGATCAAGCCACCTTTTTAATTATCGGTTGCCTTATTTTATATTACGCAAAATGTATTGTTGATAATATTATATTATTGTGATTATTTTAAGTGATTAGAATATTATGCAAAACATATTGTTGATAGTATTATATTGCTGTGATTATAAGTGATTAGAACATTTGTATATTTAAAATTATCTGCTTAAAGTAACTGCTTTATTTTGTGGAATGTTTTGTTTTCATTGCATAGTTTTTCTTAAGACACATGACATTCTTAAGACATTTCTTAAAAATCTTTTATTATAATTTAGCTCAGAAGCAATCAAATATTTCAATTTCTAGAAACAAACAACAGCAGGTTTCAGCAGCATCTGCTAAACTAAATAATTATGCAGTCTAACGCTCGAAATTTTACCTTCTGACGGATTATTGGTAATTCAATAAAATTCCTTTTTTTAGTTTCAAATGTGCAGGTGAAGTGGTGAATAATTTTTAGTGAAATCAGTGCTTAGCTGGATATGTGTAGAACATTGTTGTTGTTGTTGTGAATTTTCTCAGAACAAGTCCTCGAAATTCATCGTGGCAAGGAGTGCAAGAGTGCGTCTGCCGTCGGCAAGTGCCTTGAGCCCAATACGGGTGAGAGTACGGCTTTGCTCAGTTCCGCTCCCAATTTTGATGGAGAGCACCCTGAGGGGACGGGCCCGAAGATCTCCTACCCCTCTTTCCCTAACACAACACATCCAGAGAACTTTCGGCTCACCTCATATTTAAAGTGCTCTATGCCGCACAGAAACTGTGCATTTACAAACATACCTACCTTCTACGAGATTCGAACCTAGACTCTTTGGCACGACAGTCAGCGTCACTAATCACTATGCCGTTTGGGAAGCGAGTAAGGTATTATCACACAATATACACTGGCTTCTTTTATGGTACAATTTACGTCCAAAGAAAACTCATGGTAACTAAAAAAACATAAGAACAATGCTTGTTAATATCATATAACCATATAATTAGTATCTGGCGTTACTTCGAAAGATTGCGGCCTTCATTATTCTTCAGTGAAAGGTGCAGAAATTGCTGGTCACTTAAGATAAAGACTACCTTCATGAAGTTTTATAGATTGTGTGATTGTTAATACAGGTCTATTTATAATGCTCGGTGGTCTTACTTACTCGGCTATTTGCCCCAGTGAAATCGAACACAATATTTGCGACAGTTGCTTTGGGAAAGAATGAGTGAAAGCTTGGTCAGGTCAATACAATTATACGATTTATCTTAGAATGAGTCGAATATAACAACATTGTATATTTATCTCAGCTATATAGCCCGGTTTGACTGATTCTCGAGCAAGAATAAGTCATGCTTAGAAACTGATTCAACGATCTATCAAAGATAAAATAGAAAAATTTTGAATTTGAACAACAAAAATTTGAAAAATAATGCTTTAGCACTTTCTTATAAATGGCTATTTCGAACTGTTTAATTTATATTTAGAAAAATTAAACAATTTGTTATATGACAGTTAATTTCACGTAACTATCCAGTTTTATAAACGGATGCAATCTAGATAAATTTATATAACGGTTTAATGAAATATACATTTTTTGACTAGACCAAATTTTGTAACTGTCCCACAATGTATTGCAGGCTTTATCGCAAATTTCCGTATTTTCTTTAGTTAAAGGAAACCAATTTAGTACTATTAGAGAATATAAACAAAATGTGTGGGCACATTTAAATACTTGAAAATTTAGTGACGCAATTACGGGAAACTTTTCTACTGAGTTTCGTTTTACATTTTAAGCACTGTACTGGGTGCCTTAAACCAAACATAGGATGTCTAAGATGTTGGGGTTGTTTGTATAAGTTGATGCTAGGAAAGAGATTTTTCCCTGAAAAATAATAAACTTTTTTCCCTTCGAACAGTCTCTGTTTCAGAAAAGATATTACTGGAAATCTCGAGAGAATCCTCAGCACTTTAAATAGAATTTTCCGTACAGGTAAACGTAACACATTTATTTGAGTGAAATATTACTGAAGCTTTGGACATTTAATGTAAAAGTTGTTCATAACGGCAGTTTCTCGTGCCACACCTTATCGAGGTATAATCGATTTGAGACTTCAGAATAATTTCTGACATCATTTCAAATATTGAAAAATTGTAAAATCATTTTGTTCCGCAGCTGTCATTGTCAGCAGTTTTTAATATTTTTCAGAATCCAGAATTCTCGATTAGTGACTTAATTTTAAAACCCAGTTGACAGGCAAATTTAACTATCAGTACAGTTTTCAGGAAAACGAGAAACACTTCAGACTTATTAAATGCCACGCATCTTTCTTTTGTCCTGTATATCCACTGAATATTCAATAAAAAGTTAGAGATTATGTCCAGTTTGAAATATTTCGAAACTAAGTTTAACATATTGGCAAAATTTTAAACTTATATTTTTCTTTATAAACTGAAATCACGTGTTTCAAGAGTATTAAGACAGCGTTTGCTGATTTTTTTTTCAGTTCTATACTTTTCTGAATATTAAATAGCATGATATGATTGTGTAAAGTCATTAGGTTATTTTTAAGCAGAAGACATGAGAAAGGAGCAATGTCCTCGCCGGAACTCGAACTTGGACCTCTCGAATACGCACTTTAGTATACTAAAGTTACACTACAAAGGCATTCAGAAAGGAGGAAGAAAATACCTTATAATTGCATATAAATTTATGTTAGGAAATTATAATTCTTATATGTTTAGGACAATGTTTCAAAACCAAGAGATGATTATGTATTTCACCAGGATTATCACCCGTTCAGCATGCGTTTATGGCAATCCGGGTGATCCAGACCATTATTTATTCCAATCCCTAATAACAGCAGACTATCATATCCGCCATCCCACAGCACCAGGAACAGACTTCAAACGCTTCCTGATAAACCACCGGAAAATCCACATTAGTATCAAAAACATAATTGACACACTCCACCGTCACGGCTTGGAACTGTTATAAGTGCTTCTTCTTCTCTGGTACGAACGCCAGTTTTCCAAGGGGGGTGCCTTTATAGTCATTGCAATAGTTTATCTTAGTGTATCAAGGTCAGTACAGATTTAGAACCTAGACAATACGACCACAGTTATGCACATGGGGGGGGGGAAATGACATAACTGGACCTAGTGAACTCAGCTGTATGTATGAACTCTGATCCAATCCATGAACTGTCAATGAACTGGGAACCATCTATGAACTGCTACAGTCCCCAAAACATCACATTAATATCACAATAACTTAGCCAAGATAATAATGTTTAATGTTTTTCCATTCAATTTTTTTTTGTTTATTTGTGTACATATATTTATATTTATAATTTCACCATCAACTGTAATGTATGGTATTGTATTTGTAATGTCTTTGTCATCAGCAACTGTATCTCCCGTACCACAAGTTCTCTATGCCCTAATGATTAACGTTTCAATTAACACCGATGCGTGGCATTAAGTACGCCCTGTGGAGGTGTTCATCTCAAGACGATTAGTGTGAAGGAGCGACACCAGTTCTGCCCATGGCGATGTGTTGGTGCTTCCCACACTTAGTCCTGTCCTGTCCTTACTACTGTCATTGTGAAGGCTTACTGAAGATATTCAAGGCATTGTACAATTACATACTAATTTTACTTCCTGAACAGTTTATATTTCAAAGCAAATGTAATAACCTACAGGTGTTAAGAGTAAAACCACTAATACTGAGTGAAATAGTACTAGATTCCTAACAGGAGAATTTTCTTAGACACTATCGAAATCTTCAGGAATGCTTAGCGAAATGGATTAATATATAAACTGTAATCAAATTCATCTTTCCGTATTTTTATCAGTAAATTACGCCTTATCTATCTGATGCCCACTTTAAAGATTGAGAATTGAGGAAATTGTGCTACGGTTCCTTAATATTCTATACTTTACTCATATTTGCTCAGTATGTGCACATCTAACATCTTTCGTAAGCCAAAAACATGAATTAGCCCTATTTGCTGTGATACAATTATCATTCCCAATCAGACAATATAAAATGTTTTCAGATTTAATTGCAAAATTATCTGGATATTCTTGAAGTTTGGTTTATTAATTAGAGAATAAGCGTAAGTACCTAAAATCAACTCCAACATCTTTAAGAACGGTACCGTCTGAAAGAAACAAGTAACACAATGAATGATATTTAGCGAAGAAATTGAATGAAAAAAATGAAACAGCATATCTTAATTATTCATTTGTAGATCGCTACCTTTTTAGTCATATTTCGAAACATTTAGTTGTAGACAGCTACATTTCTGGTCATATTCCGGAACATTAAAAAATTCGTTTTTTCTATTACCAGCTTTAAGACACTTATTAGAGAAATAAAGGAAACTTTCACTAAAAAAAGTAATTTTATACAAAGTAATATTTTTTAATTAATAATTTATTGCATATGTCTTAAGGCCCGGTGGCGCAGTGACTAGCGCATCGCGCAGCAGCACCGCAGGTCTGGGGTTCGATTCTCGGGCTGGGCAAGGTCGACTCAGCCTTTCATCCCTTGATTTCCATCACTTGGGTCGATAAAATGAGTACCAAGTTCGCTTGGGGACTAAACACTCGGGGTCCTGCGACAAGCTGACCACTTGTTCAGGACATATGCTTACGCACCCCGGGGCCCACGGTCAGGAAAGCAGATTTCGGGCAGTGCAGGCCTTGGTCCATTAGGGCTGTTACGCCATTTACGTTTTTTTAATTATAAATCTTAAATTAGCATATGTTATAACTATATGTAAAAGTCGAATACGCAGCAAAAAACAATTTTTGAAAAAGCCAGAAATTCCAAACTAAAGCTCTTAAAAGAGAGAACAGATACTCCTTGATACGTATATTGAAAGTAGTCCAATACATGAAGATCTCAGACTTGGCCCCATCGTAGAACTCATAAGTAACGCAGTTATTAAATTCTACAAAAATGTTGAAGAACATGATGACGCACTTATAAAAATTTATTGCCCTTGGAAAAAAAACTTTGCCAATACTTTTTTTATAATAATTTGTAATTAAATATTCCACAAATTTATACTCAAAACACAATAAACTACATTTTTTATTCTAAATTCTAAATACCTAATCAGCCTGGAAATGAAACTTTTCAACGATGCAAGTTTTCATCTTCTACATACCTGCACAGTTCGTAATACAAAAATTAGATGTTCTGTTATATTAAACGACATAATTAGAGGGATGAGAGCCCTTTAAAAGAACATATAACCTAATAAATGTTTATACTGTTGTCTTAAAATTGCATTGCTGTAAGAGAATTTTATATGAAAGATGAGATATTGAATAATTGCCGAATTTTACATGTAAGTTAAATGCGACTGTTTGAATGAGTTGAATCAGAGGAAATGTTTTTGTATTAAACTCTCATAAATTCAGTAAATGATTAATTTTTAATTCCACTCTTTTTTATTTTACAGAATGATTATTTCGAATTCTTCGCAGATCGTTTAACTAAAATCATGTTGGTAAGTGTATATTTCAATTTAATCCAATCATTAATTTTAGAAAGTAGATATAACAAAGAGTAAAATCAAATTAACGGAGAATAAAAGATGAAATTTCTGTGAGTTCATCTACTGCTAGTTTATTTATATTAAAAATGAGAAACAAATTTTACTTTTAAATGCTTCTAAGAAAAAAAAACATCTTACCAATTTTCTCATTTAAAAAAAATTAGAAACAAGTGCTTTTTCTTTTTTTAAGCAACTACTACAGTACTGCTCAAATAAAGAGCGAGTGTAAAAATAGCCAAAGAGGAAGCTATTATTTAGAATTAAAACCTTAAATTTACATGTTTGATGTAGTTTTTCTTACTGATTTCCAATATGCAAACAAAATTTGTATATCAATCAACAAAATTTGTATATTCAATATTTGTATATTGAAAATTTGTATAATTAAATTAAAGAAAAATAATACAAGCAAAATTTGTGCAACATATAATGAGTCAAAATAAAACTTTTCAAAATAGAGCTTCTTCGAGTTGCGCTTTCCAAAGTGTCACAAACTCAACATATTGCGAGAAATGTCTGATAGAAAATTTAGAAAACATGAGTAAAAATACTCGAAAGATGAAATACGTTGGAAGGCATTTGCAAGCTGGTGCAAAGGAACTTAATGCTCATGTTGACATAGAAGCCAACTATAAAAACATTAGTACAATGATCAAACTGCATATGATTATAGTATGATTATTTCAGTGAGAACTAAGATTATTTCAGTGACAGATGTGTGAGATTATTATTTGTACTTTTACTATATAGTACGGTTTGCTCACAAATCTTTTTATAGAAACTTCATTGAAATTCATTCAACAATGTTTTATTTTTATTCTTAATGATTTGTTTCTTGCTTACTTTTTTATACCATAGTCTATATTGAGCAAATGATGACAAAAATGAATATGATTTTTAACTTTCAGTTAGATGAGAGTTCGCTTTAAACTAAATGTCAACGTGAGTTTATAAAAATTACTTGTTGCTAAATCACAACAGCTTAAAAATATTAATTGCAACTGTAAACCATTTATTATTATTCTATTTAGTATTTCGAACTGGCTTTATCATTTCGGCTATTGCTGGATTGCGCGTAATCGGAGTCATGCAATATCCAAAAAAGCATAACTAAAAAAGGCAACATACAAATTTCAGAAATGATTTCCTCAATGCTAGTTGTTAAACTGAAACAATTCTTGGAAAATCGGAATCAGGATGATTTTATGACCAGAAATCCTTTCTAAAATAATAGTAAAAAGAATAATAAAAATGTCATGATACTACAAGAAAATTACGAAGTATTGTATAATATATATCATCACAGAGGTGCTAGTAAGTTAATTCAGGTCACTCTGTGTTCACCAAGACAGAAAATTTGAGAACGATGTCACAGCATAAAAATCTAATATCTTTATGAAAGTAATTTTTTTACTTAAAAAAGCAAAGAACTCTTCATAAAAGTATAAGCAACTTCATACTAGGATACTACTAAACAAGCAGGAATTTTGTTTGCCTTACTGAACAAATAATAAAGCAGGTAATGAAGCAAAACCATGGCAAGTATGCAAAATCACTTCATTGCATCTCAGTGTCTCCGCTTTCATGTAGCAATGTTCTCCACTTTCATGTTTCTATATGATGCTGCTAGTACGGTTGTAAATTAGCATTGAATTTCTATAAGGATGTCTGCACATTTATGAAATCTCTCAATTTGCATACAGGTATCGAGGGCATTATGAAACTGCTTTTAAATAAACTTTAAATAAAATTATGCAAATCCTTTCATTTGTATAACAGCACTATAATTTATATACATAAACATATATACGGGCTGTTTAACAGAGCTCCGAATTCGTCAGATTCTAAAGAAAGTTGTTTTATGTTAATTAGGTGAAAATTAAGAAGTATTTGATCGGAAATCGGTTGTTCTTTGATATTCATTTTGAAAAATAGTCATGGAATTCACTATCAGGATTGCTACAAAACGAACGTAACGATAAGACGTATGCTATTGAAAATCTGCATTCTGATACATAACTTTTGTATTTCATTCCATTATCAGGGGCATAATTTGAATTTTAGAGAAATGTTTATGTGCATATTCACATTTTTATCTGTTTCAATACGCAGCTGTCTACAGCAAGTCTTTCTTTTATCCAGAAGCATATATATTTTGAATATCTCTTATCAATTACTACCTAGCTCTAAGTAATTTATTCGTGTTCAAACTTAAGAGAATAAATGAGTTTTTTCGAATTTCGCTAAACAGTATAAGACAGACTTTAATGAAATTTAGTATGGAGACAGAGAAATATAAAACAATAATTTATACTACACAGCAGTGAAAGTACCCTCTTATGATCTCGAATAATGCTCATAACAAAGGAAATACCCTAATGTGATACTGCAAGATGGCGCCTAATATGAGGCTAATGGAGGGTATGGTCATCTATGTAGATATCTTGCACAGAGATTCCTTACTTTCTTAATGAGAAAACTTGTCCTTGTTGCAGCCGTACTCAGTTCTGCACCAAAATGGTTCTTAGCTCCTGAATATTTCTCAAAGGTGGTTAGCGAATTGTAGTTAATTTCTAAGTACGTTTCGGATATTCTGATCAGGTCTAGGTCTCAAGATCTGGCTGATCGATCTTTACGAAGAGTATCCTTTGAAGATACCTGTCTACTAGTACAACCTTATGTGAACGAGACTTGTGGCCTATGAAAAAGGAGCTGAGAGAAATATGCGGCTCTGAAAAGTGCCACTTAAAGCTCTGATATCTGCTTTCTATACATATAAGCGGTCAAGGGGGCCTCTGTCAAACACATGGAATGGTGTGCAACTATCTAACATAATTCGTCCTTAGACCATGGAACATCGCAACAGTGGTAACTTTCCTAATGGTAGAGGAAAGATGTCAAGTACGAGGTTCTCTCGAGGTAAAGGTGCTTCGAAAATGAGTGTTTTTGTACTGAGTCTAAACGTATCAATGGACAACGTGGCCGTCGAATTCGGACACAGATATATTTTTATCATGCCAGACACAATTTTGTTTTATGTTTTGAGAAGAAAACCTCTCTTAGAAAGCATCAGGAAACAGTAACCCTTTAATTTAAGGTTTTATTGCCAGCACACAGCACGAGAGAACTGTCTGGCCTGTGTAGTCTTCTGGCACCTTACTGAAAGTGCCAAATGTCAGTTAACATTGACCGAAGTTCTTGCCTCGAACTACTGAATAGGGATCCGATCTTCTAAAACTGCTTCAACAGATTACATACAACGCTAGGAATTAAAGTTTACTCGAGCTTGGGATTACACTGACTTCAATCTACCAACGAATGTCTGCCTCATTTGGTCATCTAAACGTTCGCGGTTATTTCATTAAAGGATGCTTTGAAATTTAGCAAAATTTTGGAACAAACACCATAATTATTGCCAATGTATATAAAAGAAGTTATATAAGATATATAATCCTTAAGTTATATATTTTATGTAACGCGTGTAGGTGTTTCATGACTTTTCCTTAAGTGTTTCATGATTGAAATGTGAAAGTATAACACAAACAATGATGAGCCTTTTTCAGCCCAAATAAAGGAGCAAATGTGTTATTGATGGTGGCTTTAAATTCTGATATATTTCGCTTGTCGACATATTTCCTAGAGAAAGAGGGGAATCATTAATATTTTTATTCTTTTGAGAAAGTACATTATTATGAAATTTGGAACATTTGTCAAATATATTTTGAGTTTAAACACATATTTCTTCCCCTTTCAGAGGACCAAATTAATTTCAAAAAAGAGTTTTGTTTTATGTTTCCTTTTTTTTTTCTGCAGGATTATTGTAAGAATCCAATGGACAATGAACAATGTAACACATGGGAAGACGCACACGTAAGTGTAACACTAATCTTAATGTACTGTCGGATTTCAATATGTGGCATTCTTAAATTAAGTTCCTTAAGGCAAATGAGCATGATAGATACTTTTATTCTCATCTGGAATTATTTCTTTAATGCCCTCGATTTAGTGATCGTTTTTTCATTCTCACATTGTTTTCCTGCAAATAGTTCTGCTACCGTATTGGCTTGAATATAAGGTTGTCTATCATATATGATGATTTAAAATTTCAGAAATGCTTTACAGAAAATAAGGCGTGAATTAAAAACAGGCTTAAATATATCAGCCTGAGGTGTTGAAGGCATTCTGAAATTAATAATTAAATTATTGGTCTAAAGCAGAGTTTCTTAAACTATGGGTCGCGATTCAAAATGGGGTCGCAAATTGAAATTTTTGGGGTAGCGAAAATTCAATTCGATAGTTGAATTTAAAGAAACTAGTATAAGACTTTTAAAGAAATTACATTAATGAAATTAGACTTATAAAGACATTACATTAATTGATATTAACGAGTGGCATTTAAATGTTCTTCTCTCATTCAGCACCCCATATTTTTATAAAACTACGTTTTCAGCTTTAACACTAACTAAAACCAAATGTCGTTCAATATTAAAACATGCTGAAGATGCTTTATGTCCAGTGGTGTCAAATATTGCACCAACATTTAATTTGTTACACAGCAGAAAACGAGTACATCTGTCTCATTAGAATTTTTAAAAATTTTGTCCTAAAATACTTCTTTTTATATGTATATTGTTTACCAAAAAAGTAAATTATTTACCGGAGGATATTTATCTTTATTTTATATTTAATATCTGGGGTCGCGAAAAAAATCTCAGTTATTAAAAGGGGTCGCGATTGAAAAATGTTTAAGAAGCCCTGGTCTATAGTGATATTAATTAAAAGGTATACTAACATAATAATTAAATGCTTTAAATTAACACTTTTTCTTTTGACGAAAATTTAATACATAAATTTAAAGAGATTAATGTACGCTTAATGTATAAATTTAAGTAAATTAATGTAAGCTGTTAAACTGCACATGTAAGGGGAATGTGGTTTTCAGAAAAAGCATTGTAGAGAAAAACATTGCCCTTATATTTGTGTCCATTTGATATTTTTTTTTTTTGCAATACTTAAGTTCAGTGCAAAATCAATCATGTATTTCACCTACAGCCTTGATGATCATATTTCAAACTCTTACAAGCTGCAACATAATATTTTTCAAATGTTGATGAGTACAAGTTTTAGTAGGCATAAAAGGTTTTCCTCATTCTCTATTAGTAGCATGCCAGTAGGTTTCTTCTTTTTATTATCCGTATATTCATGCAAAATTACAACGATTTCAAAATGAGGTAAATTCATCTACTTATTTTGATATTTAATAACAAACAGCCTTCGAGAATTTACTATACATGTTTTGATAATATAATATGTAATTTGAGAGCAGAAGCAAATTGTTTAACGAAAATAAAAATAAAAATTTTAATCATTAATAAAGTTACATTATTCCGAAGAGAAGAGAAAATGTAGATAAGTATCCAATAGGTTGTTTAAAGTAATCTCTTGCTTGAACAACAAGGAATACAGCTCTTAATTTAATCCACCTAAGAAAATGCCCATTCATATAGTACAAAAGATCGTCCACAATTTATAGAAATGATTTTGATAATTCATTTCTGTGCATAAATTATATATTTCTGTGTATAAATATAATATTTCTGTGTTTTGGAGCGATTTACTTTTGTCCGATAGCTTGGATTCAGTTCGAACTTTCTATTTCCTTAGCACCATCCTATCAATTTTATCTCATTACTCTTAGGCCGTTTTCAAAAGTCCGTTTAGTGTTCTTGGATGACGTTTTCCTAAGGCTTGTTTATGCTCCACGAGGGACCGAGTGGTTAAGAGCGTTGAATATAGGTAGTTCTATATGGTTTGAATTCGATCCCAGGCAAACGGGCTGGCTTTCATGATTTTTCCATACTTTCTAATGCGAATACGAGCAAGTTTCTCTAAGAATGTCTTTCATGAAGGCATCCCTCTTCTAAGGCAGGAGCCCTCGTGGCTTTACCATATTCAAGTAATCAAACTAATCTTAGGCTCGTTTTAACAAATTAAAAGAACAAAAGCTCCTACGAGAAGCGTCAAATGATTTTACCGGTATTTCACTAAATGCAGCGCATTTTATCTCTGTTTCCCATTCCTTTGCTAAATAAGGGGCGGTTGACTTAGACGTGTGACTAGGCGCTTTGTCCACATGACGCTTAACTTTAATGATGTCTTTTCTACATAGGTTAGAACTTTTTCTTCAAAAATTGTTTCTATAATACTCTGCTGATAGTACGGTGAATTAATTTTACATTAAAATTACTTATGACTTACTTATGTACATATATTAATTTTACATTTAAAACATTTTTGAGTTTTAATTTATCTTTGCAACAAAAAGCTGAAATTATCGTGGATACAAGCTAGTATCCCTTAAAAAGTTCTTCACGAAGGCATCCCTTCTTTAAGACAGATAACCGCGTGCTTTTTAGGCGTGCTTTGGTGTAAGTAAATAAACTAAACCAAACTAAATTTGAAACTATCTTGAATCCTGTTGGGAAGCTTTTTGTACCTTCACGAAGTAATTTCGTATTGTTATTTTAGTTAGCTTTGAACAAGAGAAAATTGATACTTTTTACTTTACAGTCACTGAAAAATACTAATGCTTCATGAAGTTTTACCACAAATTTCTATTTATCAGCAGCGTAAGTGTTTCCATACAATTTTCGATAATCTATTTTTCTTTCTCGGTGGATTTTCTCTCAAGATCAGAGACTTCGCTTTCTTGATATTTACCCACGTACGACTAGTCTTAGAATGTGATATTTAAGCCATTTCTACTTTTAGCTAGACGCTTCTCCCTTTCAAATTTAATATGTTAGAAATGCCTTTCCTTGAAATCCAATAACCTTGTTTACTACATTGTTTTGCATTTTGTTGACATGAATATTTTCGCTCGGAAACTTCATTTACATAACCTTGTATTCATTTTCAAATTTTAGGAGCCATTTCCAAAATAAATATCTAATTTCGTATTTCAATCAAAAATAAATAAAATGAAAATTTAAAAAAAGTAGCAAAAGATTATATTAAAAATGGTATCTGAAAACGGTAACAAGAAAATGTAAATACCAAATTCTTTCCTTAAAGGGGAAATGTCCTATATTAGCTGTAAAAATGGTTTTAGCGAAAGGTCATCAAATTTGACTACTTTTAATATAGCCTCTCAAAAATAATTGTTTTCTTTCTTTCATTTCAAAATATCCTATTGACATAAGATAGCTTTAAATACCCATATTTCTGCTTTGATCAAACTTATATTTATTTGATAGTTAAACAAGCTCAAATGGGCTGTAAATGTTTTCGTTTTCATACACTTTTGTGGTTTTGAATCGAGAATTTCTTTGTTCGTGGTGATATATGTATATAGAACATTCTGAAAGTGTTTCTGTAAAGATATATAAAAGCAAATTTGGAACTGCTGTATTTTAAATTACATATGTATTTTGCCACTAAAACTTAAAGGAATGAAAATATTCCATAGGTTTGAAAAAAAAGAATAAGTTAAGCATTTGCATTAATTTATGAAACCTGAGGCAATTTTAAGACCTTTCGTTTTTGCCTTTTAAATTGAAAACTTTAATAGCTTAATTTTAATATCCCATTTCATGCTACTTTAAGAAGCTTTTGACCTTTGAATTCATATAAGTGATTACCAAAGAGAGGTACTATTGTCAAACTCGAGGAATAACGATCAGATTTCTGATACCTGCGAAGCTCTGATCGGTGCATGGTGTTGTGTTTTAGACATGCGCAGCACTCTTTGCTATGCTTGCTTGCTGGAGTTATTGAAAGAATGGCTGTCATCATAAAATATTTATATTCTAAACTGCGTAGCATCAAAGTATATAATTAAATCGTGAGACAATCAGTTCAGCTTCCAGAACAGGGGTGCTTGAAGAAATTAAATTTGAAACATTTCATTAAAAATGTTTTATGTTAAAAATGCATTAAAGAGATAATGTTGCGGTTTGGATTTTGGTGCTGTTGAGAGTAATAGATAGTAGAAAATGTGCTTATATACGGAAGAAGCACACTTGACATAAGTGAATCATAAATTTTAATAAGCTTTCCTTGAGCTTTAAAAACAGATAAACAGGCTATGTTTACGTAAGCTATTCATTTGTTTTTAAATGCTTTAAATAGACTATATATGGCAAAAGTGATCTGTAGGTAGTAGTATATACATTTAGTGCTAGGATCTGCAGCATCCTTGGTTAGAAGTTCTCTGTCTCAGAATCTAGGAATTAGAGGTTCGAATTGTATTCCTCTGTACTTTGCTGTACGTTTTTATTTTAGATTATTATTATTATTGCTTTGGATCGTATAAGCAGGTATTTAAAAAATTTCCTTTTTTCGGAGGATCTATTTTCCATCGCTTGGTTTTGAATGGCGAGCTCTAAATAAGTCTCCTGTTTCGGAAGAATATTTGCAATAACCAAGAATAATCGAAATAATTTAAATTATTTCTTATCAGAGGATTAGGAGTTAGTTCCTTCCCCAATGTACAGAACTAATTTAAAATAACTAAATTCATCTCAAAAATTTAAGTTTTAAAATATTTCCTTCATAAATTTTAAATTCATATTTTATGAAAAATATTTTAAATTAAAGAAGTATGTATTTTCTGTTTATTTTTTAGGATTGCACGATAAAAGTTTTGAAGGAATACCATGATCGGGAAGAATGCTGAAGATAGTAAAAGGTTTCTTCAAAAACCTTCATTTTTCTATTGAAGGGGTACAAAGGATTTTAATTATTTTGTATTGATTTGTAACCCTAAGAAATTACATAAATTTTATAGTTTTATGTATCTCAGTAGCATGAAGAAATTTAAATCTCGAACCAAATATTTTATTATATTAAAACATAAGTAAATGTCATACCAAGAAAAAAGTCATTAAATTTTAATATAAGAGATTCTTATCTGAAACACATCATTAACACGCATATAAAATTACCACAACTACGAACATACCTAATTGCTTAATATGCGATGTGTTTCTATTTAGGATCTGCAAGCTTCAACCATGCGGTTACTATGTTATACATTTGAGAAATTGTGCAAAATATATCTTAAAATCACCATTTCTTGCAACGCATACACATCTTCGGGCAGTGTAATATTTCGCAAAAATATTGTAGAGACATTAAGTTAATTTGAAAAGCCGGAGAGATGAAAAATTAGCAACCGCCTTCGCCGGGAATCGAACCACGGATCTCTGGTATATCGGCCGAGCGTGCAGAGCCACTACACCACGAAGGCACGCCAAGAAGGTGGGAGAAACACCTTATATACTTCCCCTTTTAAAGGGCGACTAGGGTTTTAGGGCACCTAGTCGCCAAATCCTGGGTGTGGAGAATTATTATCCACCATCCTTTTAGTTCGAGCGCCAATGTAGAGACATTAGGTAATTTTTTGGAAGCAGAAAAGATGAAGAAATTAGCAATCGCTTTCGCCAGGAACCGAACCACGGACCTCTGGAATAGCGGCCCAGCGCGCAGAACCACTACACCACGAAGGCGGGAGAAATACTTTATAATATTATATCCATATAGTTTAAGGAAATAAAGGTGGTTTCCCTCCTGAATTTAAGAAGCAAAAGGTTTCTAAGCATTTGGCCATTAGAAAGTGTACTAAATTAGTGTTTCCATCGTTGCTTGAATGCATGTCATTATCGTCTCCAAAATTATGAAAAATTCATGATTTATGAATCTGATAGCGTGTTTAAGCAGATTATAATATAACTCTGCTTCTAAGCATTTAATCTCCAAGATTATATCTTAATAGTCCTAAGAAGGCATGAACATTAATTTACAAGCCTTCAACTTGTTACATAGAATAGGTTTTATTTCGGTAACTTTTAAAGAGGCCCTCCTCACTAGCTCGCTTAGTCTCTTGCTTAAATATTCTCTTGCTTAAATATTCGAAAGTTGGATAATTGTACATCACCTTTCTGTATTACCACTGTCTGATTTTAGGGAAACGTCTATCTCGGCAAATGTTTGGAGACTATAACTAATTAATTTCTTTTACTGCGTGAAATGCTCGTTAGTTTTTTTCCCTAATCTCTCGATAAGACCGGAGATGCCACTTTTTCCCGAATTCGGCCAAACTGAAAAACAAACACAAAAAACTTGAAAAACTTGAGAAAAAAAAAAAAAAAAAAAAAAAAAACTCCTGTGTTTATTTCAATGTTCCCAAAGTTTTATTTTGAAACACTACGAAATTATTAGAAACGTGTTTCACATTAATCAGAAATGACAACTGTTCCATAACTTTGGGCTGGAAACTGACAACTCATTTTCAAGCTCCTGCAGATCTCATCTTTCAGGAAAGAAAAAAAACTCACATAAACGCAAGCCGTTGTTATGGCCAGGTAGTAATATTTAAATGGAAAAAATCTGTTAAAAAACCCTTCTACCAAATGCATAGTAGTAATAATTCAAATAAACTTATAACTAAATATTACATATTTTAAAACTGATATTTTTTCGTTTCTAAATCCGCCAGATTCTCCCAGTGTTACGAAAGTTGTCATAAGAAATGAAGATTTCTATGTTGTGTACTTAACGCTGTGATACTGTAGTAGTTATACTGGATGTTAACTTTTGTAACACTTTCCAGTAAACTTAAGAGAATTCCAAGTGAAGCGTGACATTGTGATGTTATATAACCATGATTCTCGGAACCATAGAACTATTCACAAGCACTATCCCAACCTTTGGTACCATTGGTGGGACGTGGTTGGTATAGGGGCCCAGGAACCAGCAGGAACAGAACTCTCAACCTCACGCCGTCCAACAGCCTAAACCTCTAAAGCAGCTGGATTACAGCACCACGCCACCGGTGATGGGGAATGAGAGAAACAAATTGACACACTTTTTCTTTGAAGAAACCGAAAAGTTGGGGCAAGTTTGAAAATGAGATGGCTGGGATGGCGTCCGAGTCCTGGCGAGAGATCGCTGTATCTTAGGTCACGTAAACGTGGCGGCAAATGTGATGTGATGTCTCAAGTTGGCAACTAATAAAATTTGATTTACCTTGAAGAAACTAATGCACTGAAGCACGAATTGCGAAATAATACGATAGAGAATTAATTAATAATATATAACAATACTGTGTGATGAGAGGTGTTGGGGGATTTATTCGAAATTTGTAAAATCTCTGAAAATCATTTAAAATATATGAAAATGATCTAGGACATTCTATATGACCTTCCTAAATTACGACACTTGCTCTTCCTATATTTACGTCTTTGGCCATTAACCTTCTTGGGATACTTAAATGCAAATACTTAGTACCATTTTTACCATTTTCACTCATTTCTATTATTTGTTTTTGGTAGTGAATTGCTATATACCCTATATGAATATATACGACAGATTTCAGATGGCTCATTAGAAATGACATTTCAAGTCAAGATTTTGTTTTAATTAGTATGAATAACTAAATTAAATAAATGAACAAAATATATTCGAAAGAATGCAAATATATTTATTCACATCAGCCATATAAACTATCTACATCGCCGATATACATTTGAACTCATTTTACACCCAAAGCAGTGCAAAGTTTCACATTTTATTTTTGAGTGCTGCATCAGTGCAAGTTCAATAGTCAATAAAAACACCTGTTTTGACAACCGTGCAAGGTTTTTATGTAAGCCAAAAAGTCTCATTCCTTACATGAAACAATGCGTAATATAAAAAAAAAATTCAGATGTCACAAATTTCGGATATACTATATTAAACTTTGTTTCTATGTAAATTGATCTGCGCATAACTGACGAATCAGTACTATTTCCTGTATGAATAATTTTAGCTAATTCGTAAGTAAAGACTATATCGCAGAGTTTTTGGTGTTTACATCATTTGTAGTAAGGACTATATCTGCTGACCTTTCAATTTAAAATGGATCAAAGGGACAATTACAGTAATTCTGATGGGAATAATTTTTACTGTAATGCATACATGCTTTTAAATGCATATTCATAAAAATTGTTTTAGTTCTGTTTTTAATAACTCATAAAATTAAGTATGAGCTCTAGGTACGCGAAATTTGAAGAATGGATTACTTATATTTGAAAGATTGGTCAAAAGTTCTGTTTAACTTCATATAAATAATATAAATCCCAGTATATTACTATATTTTTGTACTATTATACTTTTCCAAAAAGCTTGCCTATTATCTACGTTTTTAACATCATTTCTGCCAACGTCAAAGATTTCTTTGACAGACGGATCATTTGAAATATTAATGGTCACAGTAGTGAATGATATTCCGGATTTATTAATATATTTTATTAACCAGTTCACCGCGAAACGTATTGCAGACGTTGATTTAGAATTATTTATTTACAAGTCCCATGCGTGTAATACTGTGCAAAATGCACTGTAAACTTTGCTAATCATACTTTGGTTACGAATAGCTATAACAAGGATTTTTCGTTTTATGAGTTTATTGCTTGCTGCATAATATCCTTCTCTCAATCAGAAATGAACATATAGAATAGTATCTAATAACCATTAAAGAATTAATAGAATGTTTTTAACTCCAGCTGTGTTATTTATATTACCAAATCTTCTTTCAGCTTCGCCGGAACCGACAGCAATTACAACTAAAATTCTTTCATTCTCAAAATATTATTTGAAATTCTTTTTACGTTCTATATCTGCACTGTCAACAAAATCTTTAGAACTGTTTCATAGAAATAAATTTTATAATTTTGCTTAATTGTTTTAACCTCCTTTGGCCTGCAATCCAAGTTACTGAAAAATCCTCCAGTCAGGTTTCATCAATAAATCCTATTCTGGCGTACTCACTGCGTATTTTCCTTATATTTATGGATGCTGTTTTGTGTTTACTTTATTTTTATTTATTCACTTACCTAATTGGGATAAAATTTATTAACGCATTTAGCAATCAACGCATTTAGCGAATACGCTGAAAATTGTAACAATCGCTCCGGTCTTACCATTCTGTGCCAAAGATTAAATTAACATATATCTGAATTATTTACGGGAAACTAAGCAGACCTTTTGACCTCTCCATCTATGTGAAAGTGAATATTTACATAATAAAAATATCAGGAAGTTTCTCAAATACTTTTGATTCTGTTCTGAGAAGTTTTAATCACTAATGTAAATAATACAATTTACTTTCAAATAATTATGAAACTAGTTGTTATTGTGTTTCCCAAAGGATGCGTTAAAGACAAATTTTATTGCATTCTAAACATTTATGAAATTTTTTGTTTCTTTTATTCAGTTATAAAAATATAGGAAAACATACAGGATATTTCAAATGTATTGCACGGTCAAATATCGCTTGAAGCAAGTTCATGGAATACTGCTCCACTTTAAAATATGAATCAAATAATCCAGGGTTTCTAATCGGTTAAGTCTGGACATAGAGAAATGTTTCGTTTAATTACAAAAAATTTAAATTATTATATGGGTCTTAAACAAAAAGAATTCCAACTAATTTATTATTTGTTCTTTATAAATGCTTTCAGGTGTAGAAGGAGTTCCATGGTATGCAAAAGTGTTGTTAAGAAATTACTGAAAAAATATGCGACTTTTAACCCTTTTACATACAAAACTGAATTTTGTATTTGAAAAAATTTCAAGCTGTATGATTTCTACAAAGAGGAATTTGATTGAGTTTTATTAAAGTCAAGCTTCAGTATTAGTATTTTTCTAGCGTAAAAATATATTTTAAAAATTTCTTTCGAAAATTTAAATTCGAATTTAAGTAATATTTGTATATTGTCATCTAGAATCTGAATTAATTGCTTTATTAAATAGCTT